GTAGACGTGACGTGGATTGATTTCTATAAAACATTTGGAAAGTTGTTTCGTAGACGTGACGTGGATTGATTTCTGTAAAACATTTGGAAAGTTGTTTTGTAGACGTGGCGTGGATTGATTTCTGTAAAACACTCGGAAAGTTGATTTGTGAACGTGGCGTGGATTGATTTCTATAAAACATTTGGAAAGTTGTTTCGTAGACGTGACGTGGATTGATTTCTGTAAAACATTCGGAAAGTTGTTCGTAGACGTGACGTGAATTGATTTCTGTAAAACATTTGGAAAGTTGTTTGTAGACTTGACGTGAATTGATTTCTGTAAAACTTTTGGAAAGTTGTTTCGTAGACGTGACGTGGATTGATTTCTGTAAAACTTTTGGAAAGTTGTTTTGTAAACGTGACGTGGATTGATTTCTGTAAAACATTTGGAAAGTTGTTTGTAGACGTGACGTGGATTGATTTCTGTAAAATATTGGGAAAGTTATTTTGTAGTCTTGACGTGGATTGATTTTTGTAAAACATTTGGAAAGTTGTTTTGTAGACTTGACGTGGATTGATTTTTGTAAAACATTTGGAAAGTTGTTCGTAGACGTGACGTGGATTGATTTCTGTAAAACATTTGGAAAGTTGTTTTGTAGACGTTTAAATAGCAATTTCGATGTGGAAGAGATAGTTTGCTGTTTATAAAATTTATTGATTAAAACATGTTGAATTTGGTATTCTCGGGATATTCTTTCTCATTCAATGAGAGTTTTTCTCATTTATAGGTCAGTATAATGTCAGACTATACATAGTCTCCAGTATGTAACATCTCTGCTTCTTTATTCATACTGGTATACAGATACACAACTCACCCACACACACACACACACACACACATATATATGTAGCTATATGCCTCTGATATTATCATTATTAATACGTAGTGTTTTCAGAGTATTCCATTTCTAAGGTTAATGTAATTTTTTATACTGTATGAATACTTTGACTGTGTTTCTGATCCTTAAAGACGAAGCGTTGACAGAAGGTTTAAACGGACACTTACTTATACTGTTATTTGTTTGACATAATCTTTAAGTGATATTTTCAGATTTCTCCCGCTTGTTTTTCAGACCAAAGCAAGTGATTTTTGTTTCCACTTCGATGCTAGTTAACCAAGCTAGTGCTTCCCTGGAATCGTGATTAACGTTTTCTGATATTCTTTGTCTGTCAAGTTTATTTCTGTATAAACATGAAACATGTCTACTTATTGGGAGTATAGTTAACCGGATGACCAGTAAATGATGAACTTGCCTTCTATATAAAATACAAAAATGATTTAAAACCTGTAGATGATTGCTGCCGTTATGGAAACTTGTACTTTGCTCTGTCTGTGTATAAAGTCTCAGAATAAGTTTCAAGTTTTTACAATTAAGGGAAAGTTTTAAATTATTACGTTACCAATAAACAAACTCGTGCTCTACTCTGAACTGGTGGTCAGATTTCCAAACACAAAACACTGAGTACATCTACATACTCAAGTTACTTCCCGAGAACGTCCAAGCTGTTCGTAAACTAGGTTACGTTTTACCATTTACAACAGTGAAGTATTTATTTATGAAGCGAACCTCAGAGAACATGTATCAAAGAAATTATTGCCTCTCCCAGAAAGCACCAGTGACCTGGCATGCTTGTATTAATGTCTGTTTCTCTTACAAAAGATACAAGAGAAAATGTGTAATGTGAGTGCAGAACAAGACACGAGCAACACTCGAGGGAGCGCTCGCGCAGCCATTTTCTCCTCTCTCGGGAAAAGCAATATTCCGTGAGCTGTGTTCTGCGGAATTCTGTTGGGATTGGTCGGGAATCAAGCGTGCTCTTGACGGTGCCAGCGCGTCGCTGTCTCCTACTGTAGGTCACCGTGTTCCTTGCCTCACTGTGTCCGCAAAAGGCTCATGAGACACGTATACAACATACGTAACATCTGTCATCGAGGCGCAAGTGGACTGCAGAAAGCAAAGGCTTCAGTTTGTCATTTAGAACATAACATATAAGGTTCTCTCCAACATACACAGGGTTCACTAGCTTCGCCTCTCTATTAGAAGAAAACAGAACTCAGAGATATCAGAACTGTGCAAATATTTGCACAATACAACTCCTGTTTTTGATAAACGTTCGTTGATATTTACAAAAAGATGACTTTTGTAATTAAAACCTGACTACATGAAATTTTCACTTAATTTTTTTAATTATTTTCGGTTTCACTAGCCAGAAACTAAATTGCGTCTGAAACTAGGAGGAAGTGTTCTCAGGCACTCATGATTTACCACATGGCCAACGTAAAGTAATATATAAAATGCTGAGCTAACTATAAAGTGTTCTCAGGCACTCATGATTTATCGTATGACCAACGTAAATTAATATATTAAATGTTGAGCTAACTAGGAAGTGTTCTCAAACACTCTTGATTTATTACATGACCAATATAAAGTAATATGTAAAATATTGACCTAATTAGGAAGTGTTCTCAGGCACTCATGATTTACCACAGTACGATGTGCAATATCTAGAATCAAGGCAAACCTTTACAAAACAATGTACAATATGCAATGTTGGAGATGAAGGTTAACATTTTGTGCATTGTTAGAGATTAATATAGAAGTTTACCCACAGAAAATGTACGGCTTGCATTGTTAGATATTAATATAAAGTTTATCCATAGAAAACTTATGACATGCGTTGTTAGAGGTTAGGATTAAGTTATACTTAAAAATACACGGCGTGCATTGTTGGATATATATATATATATATATATGAACAAAAACTTTACGTACTGATAGATGTACAGCATACAAGGAAGGAGATGAGGTTTTTCTGTACCTAACGATCTACAATATAAAATATTATATATATAAACATTAATTTTATGTACTGATAGATGTACAACATACAAGGATGGAGATGAGGTTTTTCTTACCTAACGATCTACAATATAAAATATTATATATATAAACATTAATTTTATGTACTGATAGATGTACAACATACAAGGATGGAGATGAGGTTTTTCTTTACCTAACGATCTACAATATAAAATTATATATATAAACATTAATTTTATGTACTGATAGATGTACAACATACAAGGATGGAGATGAGGTTTTTCTATACCTAACGATCAACAATATAGAACTGTTACTTAACGATGTATAACACGTGGAATGTTGAAGACCGAGGTTAACTGTTACTTAGCAATGTATAACATGCGATATGGGATATAATAGTTTATCTTAACTGATGGAATCAAATTCAGTCTTCTATGAAAGTGATATCAACTTCCCATAATAGCAAGCTATTTACTTAGAGCGAAACTAAACTTCAACTAGCTAGTAATTATATCTAATCAAAAAACTTTTTTTTTTACCTTCTTATTTTCGAAGGATTAGAAGCACAGTTTTACCAGTTGGGTACCTTCAATGTTTACGATATTTTCGACCATAATTCCAATAATATCTCACGAGATTCGACGAGATTAGGAGATTTAGTATAGTTCTGAAAACAATCTCTATAATAAAAGTATGACAATAAAAAATAAAACAAAAAGTAACGCAATAGATATATTAACATTCTAATCAATGTTATTAATGAAAGTAACAATAAAGAACGAATGTAATGTTTGTTACCTACGAAACACGAAAACATTAGCAATTGTATATAGATCAAGCTTTCTCGTTTTGCAGCCAGGAATGAGGATAAGTAACTGAGAACTTGTATCGTTACCTTAAATTTCAAGTCCATAGATGTATCAACATATACAGTTTCTTATTTAATGAGCTTTTACACAGCTATTATAATATTAAAATTCTTATGCTACTGGATAACTATCTTTTATTTACTTTGAACCATCTTTATTTTAATGTAGGCGTTCGACAAGAACAAGAGCTCTTCGTTCGTCTTATCGACTCTGTCACGAAACAGGTAAAAACTTTCTTTTTTTGTGAAGTGTTTTGAATGTTTCTTTAATATGTCTTGTTACAACGGTCATATAAAGATGTTTGTATACAAATAATATGAGCTACGAAAGTACCTCGGTTCATTTTCTAAACTCTAGAGAAAATAAGATGTCTGTTGTTTTAACAGTTGGTTCATTCACTGTTGACATAGAGAAGATAAGATGTCTGTTGTTTTTACAGTAGGTTCATGCACTGTTGACATAGAGAAGATAAGATGTCTGTTGTTTTTACAGTAGGTTCATGCACTGTTGACATAGAAAAGATAGAATGTCTGTTGTTTTTACAGTAGGTTCATGCACTGTTCACATAGAGAAGATAGAATGTCTGTTGGTTTTTACTGTAGGTTCATGCACTGTTTACATAGAAAAGATAGAATGTCTGTTGTTTTTACAGTAGGTTCATGCACTGTTGACATAGAGAGGATAGAATGTCTGCAGTTTTTACAGTAGGTTCATGCACTGTTCACATAGAGAAGATAGATTGTATGTTGTTTTTACTGTAGGTTCATGCACTGTTCACATAGAGAAGATAGATTGTCTGTTGTTTTTACTGTAGGTTCATGCACTGTTGACAGCTATAAAACAGTCGTATGTTGGAATAGGAATAAGTAACGCAAATATATGATTAACATGTTAAGCAGTGAAAAAGTTATATATCGACACTGAAACACTGAACATATTAGGATCATGATCAAGTATAGATTGAATCTATGTTGAAACATGAATAATGAACACTAACATGCTATAAACATGATCAAGTATAAATTGACTGTGTTGAAACATGAATATTGAACACTAACATGCTATAAACATGACCAAGTATGAATTGACTCTATGTTGAAACATGAATATTGAACACTAACATGTTATAAACATGACCAAGTATGAATTGACTGTGTTGAAACACGAATATTGAACATTTACATATTAATGTTCGGCTATAAAACAACTTTATGCTCGATAAGAATATTAGACGATTAATTTAGCATAAACGTGACCATCTATAAATTGTCTTTGTGGAGATGAGATGATATGAATGTTAAAATTTTTAATATGAATAATTTTGTAAGATGATCCCATGTTTCTTTCATATACACGAGTTATTTAAGTAAATAGTAGCTTTGATAAAGACATGTTTACACCTTCTAGAATATTTTAATTAAATTTGATTTTAGGGCTGTGTCTATATATATATAACTAGCTGCTACATTTGTTTCATTTATAAAACAGTTCAAATCACTATTTGACAATTCTCTTTGAATTCGCGAACGACGGATCCGAATTCTCTAAGCTTCTTATTACGCTCGTAAAGAGACATTTCACGTGCACTTATGTGACATACAACATTCACGCGGAGCATCCTTTCCATAGATTCAAAGTTTTGGTTGTTGTTTTATTTTTCAATTTCAGTTTACCATAATCTCAAATTACAGGAAAGTGAAAATTAATTCAGAAATATTCTCTTTAGAATTTAGGTACTCACAATAGAAACGTTTTAGGAATTTACATTAGAAGTGTTTTTATTTAATTAATTATACTTGGCAGTATTTGATAAATAAGGGAAACTCCAATCGAGCGGCCTAAACACGTTAACTTCACTACTATAATTCCACTGATCAAAATAAAATACAGTTTGAATTTTACATTTGCACCAACCTATAAATGGAAACATAATTTTTTTTTCATTAAAACTATTTCTTAGTTATATTTACACAAAGTAAAAGAAACAGGGATTTCTCTTAAAATCATATTTTGTATAAAGAAGGTAAAATGATAAAACAAACTAAATTAATACATGAAAAAAATCATAGCGTTACTTAGAACTGGGTTACAGACACATAGATCGTACATATTTGGTACACTTACTGACATACAGATGGGACTATAATGGTATACGTATTTCTATAGCGACTGTTTGTTTTAAATTTCGTGCAAAGCTACACAAGGGCTATCTGCTCTAGCCGTCCCTAATTTAGTAGTGAAAGTCTAGAGGGAAGGCAGCTAATCATCACCACCAACCGCCAACGAACAGTGGGATTGACCGTCACGTTATAACGCCCTCACAGCTGAAAGGGCGAGCATGTTTAGTGGGACGGGGATTCGTACCCGCGACCCTCAGATTGAGGGGCCTTGTATATCGAAGAACACCTTTGATATATATATAGTACATTTGATATGTATATAGATAGTACGTAATTGATACACATACGAGTATACAGAAGTACATTGTTGATACACAAGCAAGTTTAATTTATAGGCGGTGTTTCATACAGGTACTGATCACATTAATTTATAGGTGGTGTTTCATACAGGTACTGATAACATTAATTTATAGGTGGTGTTTCAGACAGGTACTAATCACATTAATTTATAGGTGGTGTTTCATACACATACTAATCACATTAGTTTATAGGTGGTGTTTCATACACATAATAATCACATTAGTTTATAGATGGTGTTTCATACACATACTGATCACATTAATTTATAGGTGGTGTTTCATACACGTACTGATCACATTAGTTTATAGGTGGTGTTTCATACACATACTGATCACATTAGTTTATAGGTGGTGTTTCATACACATACTGACCACATTAGTTTATAGGTGGTGTTTCATACACATACTAATCACATTAGTTTATAGGTGATGTTTCATACACGTACTGATCACATTAGTTTATAGGTGGTGTTTCATACACATACTGACC